TTTCGCTCGGAATCTCACTCAGCCGTAAACATAGGTACTTCGAAAAGAAAGAAAAAAATGAATCCCAGGCACCAAATAAACAAAACTCAGCCACGGCGTCATGTGGAGGATCGCGCATATAAACTTACTTTACCGAATGTATTTTATATACTGCATGTGAGACATATGTGTGCCTTGCGTTGTGTAACACTGGCGCAAACGGACGCGCAGCCGCATCCTTAAACAATACTGTCATTGGACAATCCTTAATATATTATATATACTCCCGGATGCAGAGAAGAGATGAAACAGGAATTACGGTCGGTCCTCAATGACAAATTATACCGTATAATTCAGTGTTTTTGGATGAGATTACTGTTTTTATTTTTATTGCCATCTTTCATTCGCCACTCGCTGGCGGCTTCTCGTTCTTCAACTCTGTCCTATTGCACAGTGATTAATTCATCTGAATTGCATATGGCGAGAGGAGGATTTTTTGTAACTGGGTTAGTATAGGCCTGGCCAACAAGCTGCCTGGCCAACGAGCGGCCGGACACGTTAAATTATGCTGCTCAGCGGGCGACTTAATATTTCTATTAAAAATTTTCTTTCACGTTGTATATATACACAAAGTAGTAAATAAACGAATAACACATGTTTGCCTAAAGTGCAGCCCGCTGTAACGTTAAGCGTTATCAAAGTGGCCCATGAAACCACTTGGGTTCAACAGGCCTGGTATAGGCCTGTACAACACATTGGGTTAGTATAGGTCTAGGCCAAGATGTTGACGCATCGTGAATTTTCATAATGAAATTTGTACCAGAGGAACTGTCGGCAATGCCGTCGCTTAACCTTTGACTTTAGATATTTGTTATTGCAAATAATTCAGTTTGTCATCAAGTACGGTTTATAGTAAATTTACAGCGGTAATATTTCTAAACAGCTGTCTTATGGTATTTGCGGACATCCCGATGACAGATGTAATTATTAATTCTGCAATTACAAAATTCATAGTGTTACTTCATAGTTCATCGATCATTTATCAGTATTGTATATATCCTTATTTTTAACGTTCGACTTTTATTCGAGGATATCGATAATATTTGTCAATCGACATTCTTTCGACGATCACTTTATTTTACAGGACAGTATACTGTATATTGGGGTTAATATACCTTTGAGAACTATATTAAATATTTAACGAAATTCCTTGTATTACCGGGTATGTAAAGTGGGACGATTCGTAGTATTGATGGAAGTTTGAAAAATATTCGAATTGGTTAGTATGGAGTAAGAGGCATTTTTTTTAAGATGTCAGGCTAGAAATAAACTGGTCTAACGTGATCGGAGTGTACCATAAAATTATGTCTTTTTTTTTTGGAGATACGAAATATCGTACGAATTGGTGAAATATTTGCTGTAAAAATGTTGATAAAAAAAAATAACGATGGAATTCGCGTGACCGAAATAACGTCGAGACCTATCTCGCGTAATATCTTCTCTCATCTATATTAAATTCCTCAATGACAATGTCATCCACGTGACATTTTAAGAGACATATATTTGTTAGTCGACGAAAAATTAACACGTCATTTCGTTATATCTCATATTACCTATAACACATGGGTCAACCTGAAAACATGGTTAAGCAATCCATATTGTAATTTACGAAACAATCGTTTCGATTCGAATCGATAACCAGACTGTATAAGATTAAGTGATTCGGTAATAGTTTTAATTTCTTCTTCTTTATCGAAGCGTCATTTAAGTTCTTGACGAATTGGAGAACCGATTTTTGACTTACGTTGAGAAAAATAATTTCATTCAGATTTTAGGTACACGGGGCGCTATTTGTTGGAAATAAAAAGAAGCATCGTAAAGTAATAATTGGTGGGTATGTTATTGCATTTTAAATATCTGACATATTTAGTATTAATAAAATCGCATAACAGGATGATAATTCGAAAATTGTCGATTGTACAAAAAATTGACTTTACAAATCTGGCTCTATAAATCGCAGATCCTTATTTAGCTCCTGCTTCTTAGACACGCGGACAGCTCACCGTAATTCGCAATCGACCCGCACTCTGGAGAAATTGTTTATTTAGAATGTTGCGTAGGCGATAGAATGTCAGCCAACAGTGAGAATCAAATGACTCTGGCCAGAGAAAAGCGTCCAAAAGCTCTACCTACGTCAACTTGACTAATATTAAAGGCAGAGTTGTTAGGATTCATTTTTTCTTTAATTGAAAGCACTATATAAATATACAAAGAATTCAGTGATATATGACAAGCATATGCCTTATGACATAATGCATACATTCTTTTCACTTCTCCGAAAGCTTCGTTTCCATAGCGAATCATTGAACTGTACAATTGCCAGACAGTGCAAAAGAGTAGCCCGAGTCAATCCATAAATAACCTTACGTATTGTAAATAGCCTTACGTATCCTTTGAATTATCGAAAACAATACCTTATCCGACATCCGATGGCAGATTCGCATTAACCACGATGCAATCTTCGACTCTTGTAAGATGCGCGTAAGTCGCCATTCCCGAGCAGAGTCTCAGGTTACGTCGAGTAGAACATTTTGTAACACGAGTCGCAAGTCCACGGTCGAAATGGATTTGGCGGCCGGATAAGGGTTGCGAAAGATGTTACAAGAATCTTCGGCTTATTGTCTTGCAAAATCGTACAAAGAACTAAGAGCAGCATTTGCCGAGGAAAAGATTGCCATTAGCACGATTGATTAATAAATCAATAGGCAATGGTCAAAAGTCAATGGCAACACATTAGTATCGCCATGACATCCAAAGTCAGTTGACAATTTCAGTGACTGTGTTAGGATTTATAATCGATTAGGTTATTTTTTTAATGAACTCATTCCCAAAATTTAATCCCTGACGAAGAAACGATTGACTTTTAATTTGGCATTCGTTTATACTAGAGTCCCTCTAGTAAGAGTTCGGCCAACACCCGGAAGGGGCGCCATATTAAGGGCTTGTTTGGCGCCACCATGCATTGCGCGAGACTCGGTCGAGTCTCGCGCCAAGTACAGGCAACCCGCCGTACAGGGCTTAACGCTACCCACACTACACAATGCGAATCTCTCCCATATACGTATTCAGATACCATTCTATTCTGGAAAGAGCCCATAATATGGCGGAGCCTATCACTAACGAGCCCCACTGTTGGCCGGACTCTTACTAGAGGGACTCTAGTTTATACTAACGGATCGTCATGACTCTGGTAGTAGGACGAATCAAGAATAATCGCGCGCATGTTAACGGTTTCTCTATAACATTCTTAACTTTTTTTTTTATATATCACGAAGCTATGAAAATTTTCGAATCATTCATCTCGCGGCTTAATGGAATAAATGAATCCTTATACTAGGCAAATCCCGTAATTCCAGCGTGAATTAGCTAAATGGATTCATTGAAGTGAAGATAGCCCCCGCTAGACTTTTATCGTCGGACACAAATATTCGATTTACTGGGTACTCGTGACACTATACCTTTTTGCTCCTTTTTTAAATACTATTCCGACGAAAAACCCGTTGTGCAAGATGAGAGAGAAAAACGAGAGACGAGCACGGAGTCAGCGAGAGATATTATTTTTAACCACAAAAATCCCATGAACCGGTATCACGTTTGATGACGCACCAATGCCACAGGTACGTGTTGTCCATAGTCCTCAAAATCCTAAATATCCATTCAACAGGATGTCGATAATGGCTATCGTTCGTCTTTAGAAAATCCACAGATAAATAAGACTTGACAGAAGGTAAAATTAAGGCGGATACTTTATCAGTAAGAAAACAAAAGACCTACAGAGACACAAAATACAAGAGCGAATACGACGAACAGCCATTATTCACAGTACTGATTCGATTGGCCTAATTAGTGCCGAAGAACTGGAAATTGCAAAATTTATAATTCGCAATACACCCAAACCAATGTTATAATGATAAACCCACGGTCAAAGGTCAATGTACAGGTTTTTCCGTCTTCAGCATGTAATTACATATGGAGGTAAAGTAATTACGTTCACTTCTCGTGCCAAGTCGATGAATGGCTAATTTTACTACGTGACCTAGTCGAGGTTACATCCGCTTTCTGGTATCATTTTGCGAGAATATTTTACCAACGAATTTGCACTACATTTGTTTGCTCATGCTATTGCTTACTGTATAAATATACACCGACGTCTCCACTTATGCTAAAGCATTTACACGGTGCCTTGTCTCGCGATGATGAACTTCAGCACCTCGGCTTGGATACCAATAGCAAGATACAATTATTACATCGTCCATTGCACTTTGTGGCATCTTCAACCCGGTTCAAGGATGAAGATCAAACGATTCCGGTTTACAGATTTTTATGCTAAAGTTTTTTCTTCAGCGTCGGTCTTTTGATAGCTACAAAAAGTATCGTGGGACACGCTGAATGCATTCCTGAGGTGAGCATTGATTAGTGATGACAAAAAATAAAATAAAAATCTGCTACACCGTATGGCCTAACAAGAAGCAAAAGTATTTAAATGGTACACTTGGAAAAATAAGTCGCCATTAAATTTCCATGAAAGTCTTAAAAAAAATGCTGATTTAGATACCGCGAGTGACTCGATGTAAATTAACAAAATTTTTATAGTCATATTTCTACTTCCAAATAAGTCAAGACTCTTCGGCACGGAATGTCTGTTGGAAAAAAAGAGGTCGAAAAAAATTATCCGAATAGACGGAAATCGCGGTTCACCAAATCTTCATCGATTAGACCATAAGACGTTGTGATTCTCATAAAATGACAGCGAGACGGACATCCTCTTCCAGTGGATTCAACGATCTGTTTGCACAATAGCTGATACGTCGAAGGCGAGCTTGGTTGAATATCAGAGAGATGAGTCGACCTGCGTGAGTAGTGGATTGAAGAGGAAAGAGAGAGAAAGAGCAAAAATGAAAGAAAGAATAAGCAAGATGGGCCTGTGCGTACGCGATAGCGTCTACCAGGATAGGATATCGAAGGATAGGAGGAGGCCCAGTAAAACAGTGGGGGCTACCAGAAGGATGGTATAAGAGAAGCCGGTATGTGGAGGCGCCGCCAGTCACATTGACTTTCCTTCGAACAAGACGTACGTGTACTTCCATAGGGACGTGTATCAGGTGAGTACACTCCTGACTGCCCTGACTGCCATGATTGTACTGAGGGAGGGCGATCCTGCCAAGGGATGCAAATTAAGTGCAATTTACCAAGAGAAAATAATTGTGCCAGTGTTTATTAAAAGGGTGAATTACATCTTGGTGTGGAAATTATTGGATCGAGGGTGTCAACAGTGAACAGAGATAGGAAATATAGTCGAAACGTGGATATCCGCTGTACTTGGTATATCTACTGTGTATATACGGATAATTATAGGAGTAGCATCAATTTTTGGTATTTTTTATATAATTTCATTTTTTGAACTTTTAAATACAATTTTAAATACATGCGGATTATTATTGATTTTTCACAGTACTTTTACTTTTATCTTAAGCTTTTCTGGGATAAAATTATCGTTTGATTATATCTGCAAATTGATATAATATAGTATTGTATGTGCTCAGTGAGCAGTTAGGTCGTTTACCGTGAGATTTACCGGACGCTTTGTTTCACGTTACTACCAAGTGTATGTTAATCCGATGGCATTCAATTAAATTCAAGTTGAAGGTCTGGTTGTAGCGAAGGTTGGATGTAGTTTATGGATGGCTTCACGGTGAAATTACTGTGGAATTATGCTGACTCGATGTTCTCACGACTGCGATCGTAATCATTTCCTATAAAATGAAAAAGAGCGAAAATTACCTCAAAAACAGGTATAATAATTTGTTTGAAAACTTTTTATTCGGAGCCATGTTTGGCCTTGTCGTAACCGCGTAATATTTATTTTAAATGACGATCCGAGTAACATTAAAAAAAGTCGCACCATCTAATATTATTTATAATAGTCAAAGCGAGGAGCATGTATTGAGCGAAATTAGCATATATAAAAAATTTCATCTGATTCATCTTCTATTTCCATACAGCCTCACTTGAACCTGTGAAGATGAATAAAGAAAGATAATTCCAAATAAGATACTTGCTAATTTAAATTAAATATTACAACCTTACCTCGAGCTCACGTTAAAATCGAAATTAGGTGATTTTAGAATAGCAACCATAACTTCAAATAATTTTTTAGCATCCATAGACTGTGTCATCTATGGTAAGATCCGGTTCTAGTGTTTCTGTTCAAGCGATTACCTAACATCCATGCTGGGAGTTGTCAACAGGTCTCATTAACACTGAAAACACAGAGATTGTAATCGGCACGTCAAAACGATTGCGCGATAACTATTTGCATAACAGCACTTAAAAGATATTTTTCCACGTGATTTTGCAGAGTCCCCAAAATGAGAGGGTCGACGATAGTGCTGCTGGGTGCAGTGACGTTAGCTGTATGTGTCAACGCACATCCATATTCAAAGATACCTGATAGTATTCTTCAATCCGATGGTTATCATTACAAGAAGTCATCGTCGAATTCAAATTCGAATAGCTACAGCCAATCGAACGAGGATAACGCAGAAATTAACGGCGTTCTTGGAGGTCATGGCTTCTCTGGGAGCAAGACTTCCGGCTACAGTACCACTGGCGGTAGCCATAGCCAGGGCAATAGTTACGCGTCCGGTAGCTTTAGTGGAACTGTACCACTTGGACTGATTGGTGGGTCTGCTGGAGCCTCCGCTGGATCAATTGCTGGATCATTTGCTGGATCATCCGATGGTGCAGATGCTTCGCAAGTTGGATACGGAGCTTTGGGAAATCCTGGAACAGGAAATCTTGGTTTGAGTGAAAATGGAGCAAACTTCGGATACCAGGGTTCTCATGCTGGTGGAAGTGGAGTAAAGGGAGGTTTAAGTGGATCTGGTTTCTCATCTGGTTCTGGAGCTGCTGGTAATTCCGGGGGGCAATCTTCTGGTACGAGGTTCGGTGCTTCCGGAGCTCAAGGACAACCTGGAATCGGTTCAGTAGCTAGTAATTCCGGAAGTAGTGGTTTTGGAGGTGCCAGTACCTATGGCCAATCTGGTGTATCAGGATCTTTTGGTCAGTCTGGATCCAGTCAAGGAACCCTCCAGTACTGGTGGAATGGACCAGATAGTCCTTTTGGACGCGACGGAAAACCTTATGGCGGATGCTCATCTAATGCTTGTTCGTCCAGTGGACATTTTGATCTGTCTAAAGGCAATGGCGGTGCATTCGCTTCTAACCAGGGTGGTCACGTAGCTGTCAACGTTCAAGGAAATCCATTCCTATCTAAAGGATCTGGATCTGGCGGTAATGCAGCTCATGGGCCCTCTGGTTCATTCGATGCTTCAAGTTCCTTTGGTTCTTCTGGTTCTCAAGGAATTTCCGGTTCTTCCGGTTCCGCTGGTGCCTCTATTGGCTCCGGAACTTACGGTTCCTCGGGTGCAGCTCCAATTGACGCAGCCAAGAATCCATTTCTCAGTGGTTCCGTCTCTTCAGTATCTTTTGGACAAGGCTCTCAACCAGGAGCAGGATCCTTTGCTGGCTCCAGTGCTTCCTCCAGTGCTTCTTCAGGATCATTGCCTTCAGTCGGCACCAGAAACCCATTCCTGAAACCCGGTTCCGGTCAGGTACCTCAAGTACCACAACAGCCATCTGCTGGACCAGGACAATTCAGCTCACAACAACCAATTGGAGGATCATCCAGCTCTCAAATTCCACAAGTACCAGTAATCTCATCTGGTTCGCATCAATTTGGTTCCCAAGGACCGATCTCAGTGGGATCATCCAATCCGTTCCTGAATCCCAGTTCGGGTCAGGCACCTCAAGTACCGCAACAACCATCTGCTGGACCGGGACAAATTGATTCTCAACAACCAATCGGAGGATCATCCAGCTCTCACGTTCCACAAGTACCATCGATCCCAACTGGTTCAAATCAATTTGGTTCCCAAGGACCAATCGCCGTAGGATCATCCAATCCGTTCCTGAAACCTGGTTCTGGCTCATCTGTTCTTGTACCTGCTCAAGGCTCACTGCCAGTAGGAACTCCATCGCAAGGACCTGGACAAATTCCTGCATTCCCAAGTCAATCAACTGGTGGACCGGGATCATTGCCTAAAACACCGGAACAGAATTTGGAACAACCCATCGAACCGGAAAACAGCCTAACTATCAGTTGTAGTGGGGCAGGCAGAATCTGCGTAACGCACAAACTTTGTGTCAACGGAAAAGTCAACACCAATGGCCAAGGGTTAATGCAAGTGCGGACTGGGGTAAGTCTCAAAACAAATTCATCTACTTGATACAGCCGACAAAACATGTAAAATTGTTATCACCGTAAAAAATCGTGAACTTCACATAAATGGAATCGCCACACGATTTCTTAGCCACATCAATCGAGAATTATGCCATCCTATGGCATAATCATTACTAAGCTTCCAGGCAATGTCAATGCAAGCCGCATAGCTATTATCGTATTACTTAGTCTACACGGCCATTAAGAGCCTTTGTCAGGGTTCTAGTCTTGGCAATATTCCCGCAGATATTTAATCTAACTACAAAAATCTTCGTCACGCACCGAAGCAAGTGATTTACCGTTTAGTCAACAAAAATATAATATTCTTCGTCTCGTCATGCTCATAGAAAAATTCCCGATTACTGAAGTCATCACTATTTTGAAGACATTCAAATTAACACACACCAAAGGAGTCAACGACTAAATACACATTAACCTATACGGAGAATACAGGGTGATCCATAGTTGAACGATGTGTAAGATGTCTAATGTTAGGGAGTCTTTTTAATATTGAAACTTAGTAATGCCCCCCCCCCCCCCCCCCCCCCCCCCCCC